TTTATAAATTTCACTGTTGTTTTACTGAACTCTTATTCATTTTAACAAGGATTAATTGCATTTAATTTGTTTTCTTTCATTGGAAACTGCTATCAGGTTATGGAGGATGTGCTCCCACGGAAACAAGCCAAAAGAGAGAGCAACCAGGTCAGACGGGTTGGAGATAGAACCTTGTGCATAGAAAGTGTGCCAGACCCAGAGTGTACTGCGAGTGCTAGTAGCATGATTCCAGTTGTGTCGGTAAGTCCATCACAATCACTTGCTCCCTTCAACTATTGTTGAACATTCAAGAGGAACAAATGGGTATTGTTCTTTCAATTTTTCTCTCTGGAAATATTTTTAAAATAACTTTCATTTTTTTCTTTTACATGTACAGAATGTGGATTTTGCTTGTCAGACTGATCCAGTGAAAATTCTTTGTTGTGATATACGTAAGTATCAAAATGCATTTGAAATGTCTATTTTTGTTATCATATTAATTTATAAATGACATTTTTTCTTCTTAATTGGTTCTCTTGTTCTCGTCACAGTTCATGATAAACAACAAATTTATACAATTTATCTGATAGATACCGATGCCAGAATACAAGCTGTTCCCGAAGTCAGCGAAACTGGAATACAATGCAAGCTGCTTGATGATGCAGAGGTCGAGGAGGTAAAAGACAATGAAGTTGAAGAATTAGAAGAGGAAGAGTTAGAAGAGGAACAAGAGCGTGATGATTCCTCCGACTATGAACCATCCTCACCATCATCTTCGTCATCATCTTCAGAACCTTGTCTCACCCGGTCATTCAAAACGTAAGTACGATAGATGCAGTATATGAAATGAGAATTCATTTTATAACGTTACAACAGAAACAAAGCGAAATGTTTTTTTTAAATTTAAAATTAACCTTTTCTCATCGCAGAGTAGAAACTACTTTTCATTCCTACACTCAACGTGGTATCACCTTGGTTTACCCAAATGCCATTGATCTTTTGTAAATAGAAGGGGGAAAAGTCCATGGACCGTTCCAATATCACCGGATGTTCTTCCTCAAGATCATGCAAAGTACACTGAGTTCGAGGGGGAGCTCTTCTAACTTTTCAGGAAGTGTTTCAAGTGCGGTTCACGGAAGACCAGTCTGATAAAACGAACTGTGGGGACTTTCGTTTCTGTTTTTTCAGCGATGAGGGGCCTGCAAGTCCAAAGGGACGACCTGGAGTTCCCAGCCATGGCTGGGTGAAACACCTGCAGGAAATCTGCTGCTCTCTGCAGCTTTCCTGTTTGCTGGTGCCAGCCCATCAAAGGTTCTCCGCATGTTGACCTGTATGGGGGCAGCTTGTATTTCGCAGCGCACTTTTTCTCCCACCAGAAGAGACACCTCTTGCCATCAGTTGAAGCGGTGTGGAGACAACACATCACCGAAGTAAAGCTTCGTCTGAAAGCTGATAGTTAAGCGCTAGTCATCGGCGAGGANGTGGGCCCGCTAAGGGCCCGGGGATTTCGCGCTGGGCTCTTCCCGCTTCGCTAGCCGCTACTGGGGGAGTCCTGGTTAGTTTCTTTTCCTCCGCTTAGTGATATGCTTAAATTGAGTGGGTCCTCTCCTCCGACCTGAGGTCGATGGGTTTGCAATAGGCCTCGTCTCTATCTCTCTCTCTCGCCTATCGGGGGCCTGCCCGGCGCCTCGGCGGCTACCAGGAAAGGGGGCCCCTCCGCAGCCCGTTCGTGCAGGCTCTCTTCTCTCTCTCTCTCTCGGCGCTGGGCCCCCACTCCCTCTCTGGCGGTCCATTCGGAGATCTGAAACGGGGCTGGCAGCACTAGGTTCCCGCTGACGGGGTAGGGCGTCCCCTTTTTCTCTTTTGGCCTGCCCTGCCTGCATGCATGCATGCCTGGCCTCCTCCCAGCGCACTCCGTCGAAGCTGCCCGTGTCTTTATTGTTCGGCTCGGGAGTCCTGCGCCCAATTGGCGCACGTTTTGGCCCAAACAGACCCCGACGAGAGACGCTCTTGCGAGCTAAGGTGCCTCACCGACGTGTTCACGGGTGGGGCCGAGTCGGGTTTTGCGCCCAAGTAAAAGCGAGACCGGAGATGCGCCCTTTGGCGGACAACGGAGTCCGAGGAAGAAATCTTCAGCGCGCGCCCACGTAAAGCTCCCCGTCCAGCACCCGCGGCGGGACCGACGCCGCCTGCTGCGAGATGCCGCCCTCAACAACAGAAACACAACAGAAACAAAGCGATTTTTTTTTTTTTTTAATTTAAAATTAATCTTCTCTCATCGCAGAGTAGAAACTATTTTTCATACCTACACTCACCGTGGTATCACCTTGGTTTACACAAATGCCATTGCCAAAAGGGGGAGAAGTCCAAGGACCGTTCCAACATCACCGGATGTCCTTCCTCAAGATCATCCAAAGTACACTGTGTTCGAGGGGGAGCTCTTCCAACTTTTCAGGAAGTGTTTCAAGTGTGGTTCACGGAAGATCAGTCTGATGAAACGAACTGTGGGGACTTTCGTTTCTGTTTTTCAGCGATGAGGAGCCTGCGAGTCCAAGGGGAAGACCTGGAGTTCCTAGCAATGGCTTGGTGCAACACCTGCAGGAAATCTGCTACTCTCTGCAGCTTTCCTGTTTGCCGGTGCCAGCCCATCAAACGTTCTCTGCCACCAGAAGACACACCTCTTGCCATCAGTTCAAGCGGTGTGGACACAACACATCACCGAAGTAAAGCTTCGTCTGAAAGCTTACAGTCAAGCGCTAGTCATCGGCGGGGATGGACGTGCAGATAGTCCAGGCCACTCCGCTAAATATGGGAGCTACTCTACAACAGAACTCAACGCCAACAAGATTGTTGATATTCAGCTTGTACAAGTGAGTCTTTGTTTCTAAAGAAAGGTAGAGTTGATGTACATGCGATGGTTTTTGATAAATGGTTCTCGACAATTTGTAAGGGCAAAAGGATGCAATCATTTCATTAACTTTATTCTGTGTACATAGTCAATTTGAAAG